CTGTCGCCCAGGCTGGAGTGCAGTGGCACAATCGGCTCACTGCAACCTCCACCTCCCAGGTGCAAGCGATTCTCCTGCTCAGCCTCCCGAGTAGCTGGGATTACAGGCATATGCCACCATGCCCAGCTAATTTTTGTGTTTTTAGTAGAGACGACGTTTCACCATGTTGGCCAGTCTGGTGTCGAACTCCTGACCTCAAGTGATCCACCTGCCTTGGCCTTTCGAAATGCTGGGATTACAGGCATGAGCCACCGCACCTGGCCCCGACATTAGAAATGTCTAAGCACAGTGAAAATCTTAAAAATTATCAAACATCCATATCAAAGTGAGAAAAATATTTGAAGTATACATAACAATGAGTTACCTTCTTTTATACACTAAAATTCTAACAAATCATTGAAGATCACACCTAATATATAGCTGAAAGAATATGAAATGTATGTAGAATAGTATATCATGTATTATACTTCATATTCTTAAACATTAAAAAGGTTGATAACAGTTAGTACAGTCAAGTATGTAGAAAAAACACCAAAGAAGTTATAAACTGTATATGGCATTTTGTGGTGGAACAGTTGATTTATATATATCAACATTTACATTGCAAATAGCCTTAACACAGTAATGCCCTTTCTAGAATTTTACCCTAGAGCTTTAATATGTCAATAAGACAAGACAACCCAACAGAATGAAGACTCATAGCAACAGAAATATTAGTGGCCTAGAAACATACAAAAAGATTATAATCTCACTAAAACTCACATATATGCTGTCATTTATCTGTAAGAGTGGTAAACTTTGAACAGATAGTTAAGAGCCACTGTGGGTGAGAGTACTGGCTGGTTGACAGGTAATTTGGCTGTACTTATTAAAGATCTTTTTCTTATTTTAATCAGCAGTTGCATTGATAGGACTCCATCCTAGTGAAATATTTATATGTCCACAAAGATTTCCAAGGCAGTTCTATTCATACCAGCAAAAAGTAGAAGGAGAAAGCCCTAAGCGTCCCATGTTCCTGAGAATCCAATAATGGTAGAATGACAGCTATACTACCAGGTGGCATTGCTTATGATAAAAATGACCCCTGATTGGTAAACAAACTTCACGTGGACGAGGAGGACTAGAGAGGAGTTAAATTGCCACATCCATACTCTGGAACTGTCATGATAAAAATTGACTGATATGTAAGAATGTCTGGGATACTTTTGTCTAAGTGAAAAAAATCAAAGTCCAGAAAAGCATAGTAGGAGCAGCTGGGCAAGGTGACTCACATCTGTAATCCCAGCATTTTGGGAGGCCAAGGCGGGTGGATCACCTGAGGTCAGGAGTTCGAGACCAGCCTGGCCAACATGGTGAAACCCTGTCTCTACTAAACATACAAAAAGTAGCTGGGCATGGTGGTGCATGCCTATAATTCCAGCTACTCGGGAGGCTGAAGCAAGAGAATTGCTTGAACCTGGGGGGCAGAGGTTACAGTGAGCCAAGATAGTGCCACAGCACTCCAGCCTTGCCAACAGACAACAGAGCGAGACTCTGTCAAAAAAAAAAAAAAAAAAGAAAAGAAAGAAAGAAATTTCTAATGTCTAGGTAGTCAAGTTTATCACTCTGTAGCTATGTATTTTCTGAATTTGGGGATTGTTTAGAAAGGCTATCAGCCACCACAAAACTATCAAAACTTTTAACTTCTCTCTCACTTTTATGGTTATCTTGTATACATTTAAATCTCTAATCCATCTGTAATTTACTCGGGGGCTTAGAGTGAGATGAGTAATTTACTTTTATGGAGTTTCTTCCCTCCATAAATGCCTAGCCAGATTTTTCTAATGACATCTTTTCTGCAGAGATTTAAGATACTTTTATTATGAAGTAACCTCTGACACTGTACTTCTAGGATCTGTTAATGGTTATTAACTGTCATTATCATTGTCATGTTTAGCTCTGTGTTACTGGAAGCCTGACAATGGAATGACGGCTGTTTTACTGGGTCTGAGAGATAAGGAAGGAAGGAAACCCAATTTTTTCCTACCGTCTACTCTCACTTGACACAACACTTCCGACACCAGATGTAATCCCAGGCCCCAGGCTGTTCCCCCACATACCAAGGCATTCTCCCTGGACACCAGCTGGGTGTGCTCTTAAGTCAATTCCATTCTGACACGTCTACCTGGAGTTAGCGTCAGTTCCCACAGGTTGAGGGCTTAGTCCCACAAGACTGCCCCAACTTGAGATGTCAGTCACAAGTAGGGTGTCACCTATACATCTGACTGATGGGCCACAAATTGGGGGTTCCCATGAATCCCTCCTGAAGATTGATTAATTTCCTAGAGTGAGTTTCAGTTTCCCTGAGTTTCCCCTATTTGTTATAAAGGATATTACAGGCCAAGCGCGGTGGCTCATGCCTGTAATCCCAGCACTTTGGGAGGCCAACGCGGGCGGATCACCTGAGGTCGGGAGTTTGAGACCAGCCTGACCAACATGGAGAAACCCCATCTCTACTACGAATACAAAATTAGCCAGGTGTGGTGGCACATGCCTGTAATCCCAGCTACTCAGGAGGCTGAGGCAGGAGAATCACTTGAACCCAGGAGGCAGAGGTTGCAGTGAGCCAAGATCGCGTCATTGCACTCCAGCCTGGGCAACAAGAGCAAAACTCCGTCTCAAAAAAAAAAAAAGCGGGGGGATATTACAGAGGATACAGATGAACCGCCAAATGGAAGAGATGCATAGGGCAAGGGATGTGGGAAGGTCCAAGGACCTTTCATGCCCTGTCTGTACTCACTACCATCCGGGCACCACCAAGTGTTCAGCTGTGTGGAAGCTGTCTGAACCCACCCAGTCCTTTGGTTGTTGTTGTTGTTGTTTTTGAGAAACAAGGTCTTGCTCTGTCCCCCAGGCTGGAGAGCAGTGGTGCAATCTTGGCTCACTGCAGGCCCAACCTCCTGGCCTCAAGTGATCCTCCCTCCTCAGCCACCCATAGTGCTGGGATCACAGGAGCCAGCCACCACACCCAGCCACAGTGGGGTTTTTATGGAGGCTTCATCACAGAGGCATGATCATCACTGGCCCTTGGTAGTCAACTCAGCCTTCATCTTCTCTCCCCTCCCAGGAGTTTTGAGGATGGAGATGAAATTCCCAACCCTCTAATCCTGTCTGGTTTTCTGGTGACCAGCTCCCATCTGGAAGCTACCTAGGGGCAGCCAGCCACCAGTCATCTCATTAGCATATAAAAGACGCTTTGATCACTTCAGAGTCTATTCCAAGGGTTGCAGGAGCTTTTGCCAGGAGACAGGACAAAAACCAAATATATATTTCACAATATCAAACCAGGTGACATTACTCCAGATAAAAATGACTCTGGATTGGTAAACAAACTGCATCTGGACTGGAGGACTGAGTAAACTATGACTGGCTGGTAGGAAGCCATGGATTGGGGTTTTCTGAGCACATTGTCACTCAGTGATATGTAACTGGGCACATCTTTTGCTGGGACCCTGGAAGCCATGCCACTGGGACCATTACAAGAGATATTGGTCTATGGAACAGGTTAGAGCTTCCAAGCAACATTTGTTTCATCCTAGCACTCAGCAGTGTGGTTTTGTTCCCTGGCAGCAGAGCTCTCACGAGGGAGGGGCAGTTTGGGCTACCAGCTCCTGGATTGCTCTGAGAAGCCCTCCTGCTGGAGAAACCTGCCTGTCACCGCCCTCTGGCAGGCTGGCTTTCCTGTCCCCTCTCCTGCACAGCTGGGTAAACTAGTGCCACTGTGGCTGATTTGGGCCTTACGGGTGCAACGAGTGGCTTGAATTGAAGGCCAGCAAGTGTGGGTGTGACAGGATGGGATCTGGAGCAGAAACAGGTGGGTTATTAGTCTTTGCGAGGAATTGGGGCCCTTGTAGAAGTGAGTTCTTGTTTGGTGGTGACAAGGCCAAGCACAGACCTTTCCCCTTTTGCCTCAATCAGCTGCTTGGGCCACAGACCTCTGGCTTCCTGTTCTTTGTTTCATGATTGATGAGCGAAGGTTAGAACGGTTTGTCATGGTTGATTAGCTATGTTTAGAACTGTTCGTTGTAGCTCTGTGTCCCCTGCAAAGCCTGCTCTGTCAGCCCCAGGCAGGACTGACTTCCTCCTTTGTGGACCACCCGGACCCTGTCCTACATCTGTCACTGTCCCTGTGAGGCAGGCTTCCTCGCTGCCTCGGTTTCATCTATGAGTGTCTAAGTGTCGCTTTTCTCCCTCCACTAAACTGAAGCTCCTTGAGTTCAAGAGGTGTGGTTTTGTATCAGTCTTTACTTCACAGGACTTACCAGTCTGGCCTCTATTCAGTAAACATGTGTTGAATGAATGAATTTCCAGGGTGAGATATTTCTCATAGCCTGTCTGTTTCTCTTATAAAGTTCAAAATGATTTTAGTCATATAGATACTCTATGTAATATACTATGCCAAACTGACTAGTGACTGGCATAAGAACAATTATATAAGAAAGGCCAGGCCGGGCATGATGGCTCACGCCTGTAATCCCAGCACTTTGGGAGGCCAAGGTGGGCAGATCACAAGGTCAGGGGTTCGAGACCAGCCTGGCCAACATGGTGAAACCCCGTCTGTACTAAAAATACAAAAATTAGGCGGGCATGGTGGTGGGCTCCTGTAGTCCCAGCAACTCTGGAGGCTGAGGCAGGAGAATTACTTGAACCCGGGAGGCAGAGGTTGCAATGAGCCCAGATTAAACCACTGCACTCCAGCCTGGGTGACAGAGCAAGACTCAGTCTCAAAAAAAAAAAAAAAAAAAGGCCAGTGTGGATGCGGGAGCCAGACCGCATGGATTCGACTCCCTCATTCCTGGCTGTGTGACCTGGGCTAGTTACTTAGGCTCTGTGCGCCTCACACTCTTCATCTGTCAAGTTTCTCCTAGAGGGCACAGAGTAAGCCCTCCATGTGCGTGAGGTGCCATGTCCCGGTGCCCCAGGCTGGTCCTGGCATGCTAAAGAGGAATGTGCCATTACAGGAATCATTGACCTTCAAGGACGTGTTTGTGGACTTCACCCTGGAGGAGTGGCAGCAACTGGACTCTGCCCAGAAGAACCTCTACAGGGATGTCATGCTTGAGAACTACAGCCACCTGGTGTCCGTGGGTGAGGGACCGCGCCACGGGGTGATGCAGAATGCCCCCAGTACTGTGTTTCTTTCTCAGCTGCTCCAAGCTCCGGGGCCTGGGAACAATGAGTGTGGGTTACCACCCTCAGTGAGTTTGGGTTACAGCCAACTGTGCAGTATTCGTAGTCCCCGTTGGACTCTGGAGAGCATGTTGGTGCCCTTGCTTGCTATGTGAATGTTCTGTACTGAGGGGCAGATAGCTGTGTGCTTGGGGCCTTCCCCGAGGCTGTGCCACCTTCAGCCTGCAGGGGTGGGCCTAGGTTCTGGAATTCCTCAGCGTTAATAACGAAGTCCTGTGTCATGTCCCCTGAACAGGGTATCTAGTTGCGAAGCCAGATGTGATCTTCAGGTTGGGACCAGGAGAAGAGTCCTGGATGGCAGATGGAGGGACCCCGGTACGGACCTGTGCAGGTGAGGACAGGCCAGGTGAGTCAGGCCGGGGAAAGGGACCAGGTTGGTTGGTGACAGCTTGGCCTCTGGGATGAGCTCAGGAGCTCTTCTGAGAGCCCCGGACTTGTGGACATGCCTAGGCTCTGATGAGCGGAACTGTTGTCATGTCCAAATGAGGCCTCTGCCTGGCCACTGGTTACAGTCTCTGCGTTCTTTGCTTGGCGTTCCCATAGATTGTGGCCACTCTTGTTCTGAGATCCCATTTCTACCTTCCACCCTCCTGGCTTGTTAGTGAGAAGTGCCAAGCCTCTTCTCATTCCTCTCCCACCACCTTTCTGGAAGCTTTTAAGACTTATTCTCCCACCTTCTTGGCCTTTTGTATTTTCACCATGGTAGATGTATTAATAGATGTCAGCATTTCCTCTTTATTAGGCATACTGTGGGCCCTTTCAGGCTGAAATTTGGACTGTTTTTTTGTTTGTTTGTTTTTTGTTTTTTGTTTTTGTTTTTGTTTTTTAGCCTAAGGTAGATTATCATGCCTGTTTGTTTTTTTGTTTTTTTGTTTTTGAGTCAGTATAGACACCAAAGCTTTGCCAGTGACCTTTACCCAACCAGGTACCCACCACGTTCTTGCCTGCTCTCACTTTGTGGTTAACACTGTAAACCTCACACCATTTTCTGTTTTCTTTACTTATTTCTTCTCAGACTGTTACAAATCTGACTTTATACTACTTGTTATCAGATTCCTCCATTTTTTAATACATCCTTCCCATTCAACTCTTGTTTTTGTTATTATCTCTTTACTTATTCAAAAAATAAACACACTCGAGAGGACATTACTCCCAAGGTGGAATACTTCAGTGAACCATATTTTAGTCCTGCATAGAGCTGCTTTTTCCTTGTCTATTTTTCCTGTGGGCTGCCCACAAGGATCCAGAAACTCTTCTGATACACTGGTCTGCTCTTTCTCTCCCCTTCATAGTACCCCCTTCACTGGCCCATGGCAAAGAAGCCTGTTTAGAATGGTGTTACTCTTCAGAGGGTGATCGATGAACCAGCAGCCTGGGCATTGTTGGGGCACTAAGTAGAAAATCAGAATCTGAGGCCTCACTCTAGATTTTCTGAAGGAGAATGTGCATTTCAACAAGCTCCCCAGGGACCCCATAGACACAGTAAAGCTTGAGAATCACTGCTCATTAGAGATTAATTTCAGAGCATCAGCTGTAGTCAGGTGCTGGCCCCAAGGACTCCTCAGATGGCTTCCTCCAGAACCCACTCCTCAGCACACACACCTATTCTCTGAGATCCTCCCTGTGCTGGCATTTGTGGCTCCCACCATTCTGTAGCTTCCTCCAGGAATGTTTTGGGTGATGATAACCTCTTTGTTGCTCAGTGTAATTCCATATCTGCTGCTTCGAGATTCATCAGGATTTCTGGTGTGCTGATGGTATGCTTGCTTTCTTCCAGTGATGCCTGGAATTGTAATGACTGTATGTCTTGTTCTCATTTCAGTGCTGTCCTAGAAGGGAGGAAAAGCAAATTCAGGCACAGTCTACCCTCCTGAGTCGCAATTCCCTCATAAGAAAAACTATTATATTAAAATACAGACATTTATATATTCAGTCTAAGAGTGCAGAACAGTATAGGCTAAAAAGTAATCTTAGGTGCATTCCCAATCACACCCCCCAAGGGCAGCTTCTTCTAAAGATTTCTCTTTTTGGTTCTGGTGAGCACCTCCATAGGTTTAGGGAATACCTTTATATCTGCATTTTATGGGTTTTCAGTTTTATCTTCCCTCTATGAAAAGTAAGGATTTCCCTCACACTTTGGCCTTCCACTCCCCAGCTCTTCACAAGTTTGTTATATGCTTATTTTTAGTTCCTTTATTGGTTACATTTATAACTTTAAATAATATAGCTATGCATTTCATATGGTAACTTTTAAAAAAATATAGCTAAGTGCCAGTGGCTCATTTCTTTAGCTCAAACACAACCCCTAGACATAAGAGCCTACATCTTGTTCTGACTTGTTCCAGTGTGGGACTGGTGGAAGACATTCAATAAATATTGCACTGATTGATTTGGACCTGGGCAGAGGAAGGAGCTTTGTTATTCATCCACATACAAGTGGCTAAGAGTGACTGTGGAGCCACATAGCCTGGACTGGACTTCTGGCCACTTTCCTCACTAGCTATCACTGTGTACACATTGGTTGGCCTCTCTACCTGTTGTGGGGCTAATGATAGAACTGAATGATTTTCAGAAATTAATGAGTTGATCCATGTAAAGCACCTAAAAGGGTGCCTGGCATAAAGGGAACACTCAACAAATGTTATCACTGTTTTTATTGTTGTTATTATCCATAAAAAACGTTTTCTTTAATTTAATGTAGTGGTTGTTAACCAGAGATGTATTACATAGTTACCTGTGGATCTATCAGAATATTCATGAGTAGGCCCCACTGTAGAAATTGTTTCAGAAAGCCTAGGGTAGGCCTGGTTGTGTGCATTTTGAGTGACACTCCAGAGGGTTCTGATGCCCATCTTTGGTTAAGATCCACTACTTGAAATATCTGCTGAGAGGAATTGCAAGGGAATAGGAGACAGCAATGAGCATGCGAGCAGGATGGGATGGAAAGACAGGAGCACATGGACTCACTCCTAGACAGCTCTCCAAACTCCCAGGGTTGGAAGCAGAATGCAGCAGAAAGCAACTTGAATTTCTTCCCTGTTTCTCCATATTTGAATCTATTTCAGGAACTATATTTTTCCCTCTGTCTCCTGGATGAAACCTCTGGCTGGTCCCATAAGTTCACTGGTCATTCTGAGATAATACAAATCTTCTGGGAACTGTTCCTTTCAAGAGTAGCCTCATTACAGTAATGAAAACTGTCCAGTCTCATGTAGTAGTACAAACTGAAATTTATTTCAAGTTTGTTGATCTTTTCATAGAAGTTTTAGCTTTGTTAATTTTCTCTACCATTTTTTCTGTTTTATTGATTTCTTTTACTTTTATTTTCTTTTTCCTACTTACTTTCAGTTTACTTTGCTGTTTTTTATCTAGCTTCCCCCAACATTTTATTATGAAAATTTTTATATAAAACAAGTAAAAGAATTGTAGATTGAACACCCATATAATACCTCCACCTAGATTTATAATAACTATAAACATTTGGCTATATTTATCCCCTGTCCATCTGCCAGTTCCTCCAATTTCCATAAATTCGATTTATTTTTTTATAGTGCATTTCAAAGGAAGTTACAGAGTTCAGTACCCTTAACCCCTAAGTACCTCCACAGGCATATCATTAATTAGAGTTCAATATTTGTTAGTACTTTATCATTAGTACTCATGAAGTATTTTAATAAAACAAAATGCCCTTATGGCACCATATGATCTTTGGCCATACATGTTAATGTTTGAACGTAATTTTCTATATGTGTTTTTATATGTGATCATTATATATTTATGTTGATGTGACTGCATTCCTTTTATTTTTTCAAATGAAATTGATTAAGGTATAATGTACATACCATGAAATTTATCTTTCTTAGGTGTACAGTTGTATAGTTTTGACAACTATGTAGCTGTGTAATTACTACTACTACAATAAAAGTGTTGGACATTTTCATCCCCCACAAAAAACTCCATGTTTCCTTTTATAATTCAGTCTCTCTCCTCATCCCAGGCTTGATCTCTTTTCCTTCTAGTTTGGTTCTTTCTAGAATGTCATGTGGCTGGCTTCTTTCACTTACCTTAATGCATTTTAGGTTCATCCATGTTGTGGCATGTATCAGTTTGTTCCTTTTGATAGCTGAGTAGTGTTCCAGTTTGTCTGTCGATGGACCAGTTAATGCACATTTGAATTGTCCCGGGTTTTTTTTTGTTATTATGAATGAAGCTGGCAGACATTCTTGTACAGGCGTTTCTGTGGATCTGTGTTTTCATATCTCTTGGGTAAATATCTGGAGTGAGATTGCTTGGCCATATGGTAAGCATATGTTTAACTTTATAAGACATTGGGCCGGGTGTGGTGCCTCACGCCTGTAATCCCAGCACTTTGGGAGGCCAAGGCGAGTGGATCACTTAAGGTCAGGAATTTGAGACCAGCCTGGCCAACATATAGTGAAACCCCGTCTCTACTAAAAATGCAAAAATTAGCTGGGTGTGGTGGCACATGCCTGTAATCCCAGCTACTTGGGAAGCTGAGGCAGGAGAATTGCTTGAACCCAGGAGGTGGAGGTTGCGGTGAGCCGAGATCATGCCACTCTACTCCAGCCTGGGTGACACAGTGAGACTCTGTCTCTCAAAAAATAATAATAAGATATTGCCAAAGTGTTTTCTAGTGTGGCTGTACTATTTTGTTTTCCCACCAACAACACACCTTTCTAGTAGGTATATAGGGGGATCTCATTGTGATTTAAATTTGCATTTCTGTAATGATCAGTGATGTTGAGCATGTTTTCATGTGCTTATTTGCCATCTGTATATGTTCTGTGGTGAAGTGTCTATTGTAATCTTTTGCCATTGTTTGTTATTAAATTGTGAGAGTTCTTTATATATTGTGGATATAAGTGTTTTGCAAGTATTTACTCCTAGGCTGTGGCTTGATTGTTCATAACAGTATCTTTTGAAAAACAAATGTTTCTGTTTTTATAAAGTCCAATTTATTAAATTTTTCTTTTACGGTTCATGCTTTTTGTGTCCTCTTTAGAAAATCTCTCACTAACCCAGGGTAACAGAGATTTTTTCTGTATGTTTTCTTCCAGGAGATTCATAATTTTAGTTCTTATATTTAAGTCTATGACTGTTAATGACTTAATTTTTGTATCTGGTGTGAGGTAAGGGTCAACATATTTTTATATTATTTTTACATATGCATTTCCAATTGTTCCAGTAATATTTTTGAAAAGAATATTCTTTCTTTTTCTCAGATCAACAAGTGATCCATTTATTATTTGACATCTACTTTAAAATGATGCCAGGTGTGGTGCCTCACACCTATAATCCCAGCACTTTGGGAGGCTGAGGCAGGAGGATCCCTTGAGCCCAGGAGATTGAGACCAGCCAGGGCAACATAGTGAGACCCCGTCTTTACTAAAAAATTAGCTGGGCATGGTGGTGCGCACCTGTAGTCCTAGCTACTCGGGAGGCTGAGGCACAAGAATTGCTTGAACCCAGGAGGCAGAGGTTGCAGTAAGCCAAGACCGCACTGCTGCACTCCAGCACTCCAGCACTCCAGCCTGGGCAACAGAGCAAGACTCTGTCTCAAAAAAAAAATGTTAATAGTAAGAATTTCACTGGGGAACTGGGATATATAAAATAATCTAATGAAAACTGAAAATTAAGAATTTAATATATATATAAAAGAAACACAAAATTTAAAGAGCAACAACAAAAGAAGAATTTCATATATAGACTTAATAGCAGATTAACCAGAGCAGAAGAGAGGTTAAGTAAGAAAGATAAGTTACTATCAAATATTCAGTCTATTCCAGACTGTTCTTTCTTAATTAACTTACTTTGGCATCCTTTTTGAAAAGTATTTGAACATACGTGTCACTCTGTACACCAATACAGGTTGAGTATCCCTAATCCAGAAATCCAAAATCCTAAATGCTCCAAAATCCAAAATTTCTTGAGCACCGACGTGGCATCCAAAGGAAATGCTCATTGAAGCATTTCAGATTTCATATTTTCAGGTTAGGCTGCTGAACCAGTAAATACATAATGTAAACATTCTAGAAACCAAAAATATCTGAAATCCAAAAACACTGCTGGTTCCAAGCATTTTGGATAAATGATACACAACCTGTACCACATGTCTTAATTGCTGTAGCCTTATATTATGTGTTTAAATCAGGTAGTATGAGTCCTCTCACTTTGTTCTTCCTTTTTGTAATGTTGTAGCTAGTCTAGGTCTTTGGTATTTTCCTAGAAATTTTAGAATCAGCTTGTCAATTTTTGCAAAAAAGCCTGCAGGGGGTTTTGACATTGCATGGAATCTGTGGATAATTGATGTGCAATATTGAGTCTTCTAAAGCAAAATATGGTATATCTGTCTATTTCAGTCTTTTAAATTTTATTTCAGTAATATTTGATAGTTTTGAATGGATAGGTCTTGCACATATTTTGTTTAATTTACCCCCGTGTTTTATGTTCTTTCAAGGTAATGTAAATGGGGTGTGTGTATGTACATAGTTGTTTTGTATTTCATTTTCCTATTGCTCATTGCTAATTTATAGAAGTGTAATTGATCTTTCCATATTGACTTTGTATCCTGGAACCTTTTAATAAGCTTACATATTAGTGCTAGTAGCTCTTTTATAGATGGTTTGGTATTTTCTACATAAACAATCATGTAGTTATGAATAAGGACAGCTTATTTCCTTTCCCAGTCTGGATGCCTTTACTTCTTTTTCTTACTTTATTGTACTTACTGGCTAGGATCTTCAGTATAATGTTGACTCAGGTAGGGAGGGCAACATATTTGCCTTGATCCTGATCTTAGGACAAAAGCATTTACTCTCTTACCATTAGGCCTAATTTTACTTGTAGGTTTTTTCATAATGGCCTGATAAAGGTTGAGGATATTTCCTTCTAATCCTGATTTTCTGAAAGTTTTTTTTATTATGAATGGATGTTATAAATTATTTTTATGGATCAATTCCTATGATTGTGTTTTTTCTCCTTTAGACCATTACTTCCCATGTAATTATTGATATTATTGGATTTACAGGTACCATTTTATTATTTCTTTCTGTTCATCCCACCAACCAAACTTCTTTTTGGTTTTTTGTTATTTTACTTCACCATCCTTCTCTTTGGAATATTTGACTATTTTTTAAATTAAACATTCTATGTTAAGATAATCGTAGATTCCCATGCCCTTTAGGAAAAAATAAAGATAAATCTCATGTATTCTACCCAGTTTCTACTAATGGTGACATCTTGAAAAACTATACTACAAATCACAACAAGGATATTGACATTGAGAAAGTCAAGATACGGAACATTTCCATTACTACAAGGGTCCCTCATATTGCCTTTGTATAGCTATACCCATTCCTTCCCACCCCACCCCTTCTTAAGCCCTGGCAACTACTAATTTGTTCTCCATTTCTATAATTTTGTCATTTCAAGAATATTACATAAATGAGGTCATACAGTATGATACTTTATGGGATTAGTTCTTTTCACTCAGCGTACTTCTCAGTTGGATTCATCCTGTTGTGAGTACCCAGAGTTTCTTCTTTTTTGTCACTGAGTAATATTCCACCAAATGGATGTACCACAGTTTGTTTAGCCATTCACCATTTGAAGAACATTCCTGTTTTCAACTTCATTGATTTCTGCTCTGATTATTTCTTTTCTTCTGCTTGATCTTTATTTCTAATATATGCATTCAGTGCTATAAATATCCCTCTCATTGCTGTGTCCCACAAATTATGATATGTTGCATTTTCATTTAATTCAAAATAGTTTCAAATTCCCCTTACGACTTATTTAGAAGTAAGTATATCTTTAAATTTCCAAATATTTGGGGTTTTCCAAGTATCTTTCTCATTGATTTTTGTTGTAATACTGTTATTGCACATAATATGATTTCTTATAAATTTGTACAGGTTTGTTTTAAGACCCAGAATATGTTCTATCTTGGTGAATGTTTCATATGCACTTGAAAAGAATGTATATTCTGCTGTTGTTGGATGCAGTGTTCTCTGAATGTCAATTAGGTGAAGTTGGTTGATGGTGCTGTTCAGATTATCTATATCCTTGCTGGTTTTCTGTCTACTTGTTCTATCAATTATTGAGAGAAAGTGTTGAAGTCTCCAACAATAATTGTGGATTTGTCTGTTTCTCTTTCAGATGTATCCATTTTTGCCTCATGTATTTTGAAGTGCTGTTATTAGGTACATACACTTTTAGGATTGTTATTTCTTCTCAAAGAATTGACTGTTTTATCATTTTGTAATGTCCTTCTTTGTGCCAGAAAATCCTTCTTGTTCTGAAGTCATTGTCTGAAATTAATGTAATTTCTCCAGCTTTCTTTTGGTTAGGTTTTCATGGTATATCTCCATCCCTTTACACATCTCTCGACAGAGAGTTTCCTTATACCTCTCTCTACCCGCCCCCACCCCGCCAATTTCCCCTAATAGTAACATCTTGCATTAGTATGGTACATGTGTTACAACTGGTGAATGAATACATTATTATTAACTAAAGTCACATCTTACATTAAGGTTCACTCTTTGTGTTGTTCAGTTCTATGGGTTTTGTCAAATGCATAAAAATCCACCATTACTGTTTCATACAGAATAGTTTTACCGCCCTAAAAATTCCCTGTGCTTTGCTTTTTCATCCCTTTTTCACTCTCTCCTGGCAAGTACTGATCTTTTTACTATCTCTATAGTTTTGCCTTTTCTAGAATGTCATATAGTTGGAATCATATAGTATGTAGCCTTTTCAGACTGGCTTCTTTCAAATAGCAATATGCATTTAAGTTTCCTCCATGTCCATGGCTTGATAGCCCATTTCTTTTTATTGCTGAATAATATTCCATTGTGGATCACTTTGTTTATCCATTCACCTATTGAAGGACATCTTGGTTGCTTCCAGTTTGGGGCCATTATGAATGAAGCTGCTATAAACATCATGTGCAGGCTTTTCTGTAGACATAAGTTTTCAACTCATTGTGGTTCATTTCCTTTTGAAGTTTGTAATTTTTTTTACTGTGAACTCCTTTTCAGTGAGAGTTATTTTCCATGGAAATTCTGTGTACCCTAAGCTATGAAAGCATCACTGCAGAACTATTTGGATTGCCACTGCTGGGGCCCACTGGTTTCACTAATGCAGGAACAATTTATAGGTGAATTTATCAACTTCGGGGGTTTTGTATTATACTTCAAATGTCCATTTGGAATGCACTCCTACATGTGGTACAGGACTGTGGTTCTGACTTCTTGTAAGTAACCCCTGATTCTTCTTAACATTTTCATTAGCCAGTGGGTGACATCTTTCTAGTTCCTATTTTACACACAGAGATGTCCTTTGTGACTCCCAGCTTTAACCAGGTAGCTCAATTCTAATTCTCTGCACAGTTGTGCCCTGTGGCCTAGAATTCACTTCACACTCATGATTAGAGCCTTAGTCCCCCAACTGCAAAGCCACACAGCTTCAATTTCTGTTCACCCCCTCACTTTAAATTTCTTCTTCATTTTTGTCACATAATAAATTTATTTTCTGGTTTGAGCTTGGCTGCATATTAAATTATTTTTGTTAAATTTGAGCCAGCATTTCTTTGTACTTGCACTCAGGGGAGGTGGTGGTGGTGGGACATGGGGAGGGTCCATCCACATCAGCTCAAGTCATGTTGATAGGAGTTCACTGCTTGGGCATTTAGGGATTAATGTTATTCCATAATATTCCAGTGGAAAGACTTAACAAGTTTGATGATTCGTTCATTTTCTTCTAGAAGTCTGGCAAGTTGATGAGCAGATAGATTGCTACAAGGAAAGCCAAGACAAACTTCTGTGGCAAGCTGCATTCATAGGCAAGGAAACACTGAAGGATGAAAGTGGTCAAGAATCCAGAACATGTAGAAAAAGCATTTATCTGAGCACAGAATTTGATTCTGTAAGACAAAGACTCCCTAAATATTATTCATGGGAAAAGGCATTCAAAACATAATTTAAACTTTCTTAGTCAAAATAGAAGCTATGTAAGAAGGAAAGATGATGGATGTAAGGCATATTGGAAAGTATGCCTCCATTCTAATCTTCATAAAGCTCGACCTGCAGAGAGATTTTTTGACCCTAATCAACGAGGGAAAGCCCTCCACCAAAAGCGAGCCCTTAGAAAAAGTCAGAGAAGTCAAACTGGGGAGAAACTCTACAAATGTACTGAATGTGGAAAAGTGTTTATCCAGAAAGCAAACTTAGTTGTACATCAAAGAACTCACACCGGAGAGAAACCTTATGAATGCTGTGAATGTGCAAAAGCCTTCAGCCAGAAGTCAACCCTCGTAGCACACCAGAGAACTCACACAGGGGAGAAGCCCTATGAATGCAGTGAATGTGGAAAAACCTTTATCCAGAAGGCACCACTTATTAAACATAAGAAAATTCATATGGAGAGAGACCCTATAAATGCAGTGTCTGTGAGAAAGCCTTTAGTGGGAAGTCAACTCTCATTAAACATCAGATCATTCATATGGGAGAAACCTTACAAATGTAATAAATGTGGGAAATCTTTTAGTGTTAAATCAACTCTCATTGTATGTCACAGAACATAAATGCGTAAGTTGCATGCTATTGTGAGTAGTGTGATGAAATTTTACATTGTCCTGCTGTTTCCTGCTCAGGATGCAAATCACTGAACCCTTTTTTTTCTTTCTTTTTTTTTTTTGAGACAGTCTTGCTCTGTCATCCAGTCTGGAGTGCAGTGGCACAATCTTGGCTCACTGCAACCTCCACCTCCCGAGTTCAACCGATTCTCCTGCCTCAGCCTCCCGAATAGCTGGGATTACAGGTGCATGCCACCATACCCAGCTAATTTTGTATTTTTAGTAGAGACAGGGTTTCACCATGTTGGCCAGCCTGGTCTTGAACTCCTGACCTCAAGTGATCTGCCTGCCTCAGCCTCCCAAAATGCTGGAATTACAGGCGTGAGCCACTGCACCCAGCCTGAATCATCCTTTTGTCCAGTATTATATCCATGCTGTATATGCTACCTGCCCATTAGTCCCTTAGCTGTCTCAGTTGTCAGATTGACTGTCATGGGATTGCAGTGCTTGCATTAAAGCTACCCTTATTGTATAATGACCCCAAAGTGCAAGAGTAGTGATGTTGGCAATTTGCATACGCCAAAAATAAGTTATAAAGTGCTTCCTTAAAGTGAAATGGTTAAAGTTCTTGACTTAATAAAGAAACAAAATGTATGCTGAGGTTGTTAAGATTTATAGTAAGAATGAATCTTCTATCCAGGAAATTGTGAAGAAGGAAAAAGAAACTTGTGCTAGTTTTGTTGTCACATCTCGAACTGCAAAAGTTATGGCCACAGTGCATGATAAATGCTAAGATGAAAAAGACATTAAATTCGTGGGTGGAAGGCATGAATAGAAATGGGTTCTGACAGCAATCAGGTTCGGTACTATTCACAGTTTCAGGCATCCGCTAGGGATCTTGGAACATATCCCCCATGGATAAGGGAGGACTACTGTACATTGCCATATTGTGCATCAAAGAATTCATTGAGTGTAATCATGTAAATCTAATATACATTTTTTTTAAAAAAGCCCTCAGATATCATTTAGCCTTTGGTAGATGTAAGAAAACTCAAAAGTTACTCAAATCATTCAATAAATGATAATTTATTTATTTATTTATTTATTTATTTATTTATTGTGAGACAGGTCTCACTCTGTCACTTAGGCTGGGATGCAGTGGCATGATCACAGCTCACCAGAGCTTCGACTTCCCAGGCTCAGGTTATCCTCCCACCTCAGCCTCCCGAGTAGTGGGGACCATAGGCACCCGCTACTACACCCAGCTAATTTTTGTATTTTTTGTAGATGGGGTTTCGCCATGTTGCCCAAGCTAGCCTCGAACTCCTGGGCTCAAGTGATCTGCCCACCTCAGCCTCCCAGAGTGCTAGAATTACAGGTGTGAGCCACTGTGACCAGCCAATAAATGACAAATTCCTTACTCATGAGTTTTAATACATTGTACATCAAATAATTTATGAAGGGTCAAAACCATGAAGATAGCAAAGACTGGAATGCCTTTGGAAAGAAGCGAGGCGTCATCTTATATCAGAGCACTTATGTTCAGCAAACATCAATTTAATAAATTTGATAACCCAGTTTTCCTGTATAATATAAGGAAAATCATGTCTCAGATATGTCATCATCCATTTTATAGAAAAGATCACAGGGGTTACAGTCAAGCACTCAATTATAAATTATACACATATTCTCTGTAGAACAGGTTTAGAAGCTTCTGAAAGTATAAATACATTTTATAATCAGGAGGACAGAGGAAAAACATATTAATCCTTACTAGGCCAATCTCCAAGCTTATCTGTAAATAGATAATCCCTAAATAGATTAGTTTCAGAGCACATGAGCCAGCAGGATTCTCAAATAGACCTTGCACATGTATTTTATCTGTCATCAGTACAAAAGTGGAAGCATCTTATGGAGAAAGATACTCTTCTGGGATACTTTTCTTGAAAAGTCAAAATTTATTCTCAAAAAAGTAATTATGGTGGGGCAATAGGAGGTTCAGAATTTCTAGGAAAGATCCTATAAGAGCAGTATTAATTGAAATAAAAATAAGCAACTTGAATATCCAGTAATAGGTGATAGAGTAACTTGATATATTCATAAATTGGAATCATGCTTCCCTTAATGTATTCATATTTTAAGGAGTTTGGAAAATGTTCATAGTAAACTAAGACTATAAAACTATGATTTGTGTTGTAAAACGGCATATATATAAGAAGGATATGGCCAGGCGTGGTGGCTCATGCCTGCAATCCTAGCACTTTGGGAGGCCAAAGCGGGCGAATCACCTGAGGTCAGGAGTTGGAGACCAGCCTGGCCAACATGGCGAAACCCCATCTCTACTAAAAATACAAAAATTAGCCAGGTGTGGCAGCGCGTGCCTGTAATCCCAGCTACTCGGGAGGCTGAGGCAGGACAATCCCTTCAACCCAAGAGGAGGAGGTTGCAGTGAGCTGAGATCGTGCCACTGCACTCTAGCCTGGGCAACAGAGTGACATTCCATCTCAAAAAAAAAAAAAAAAAAAAAAAAAGGATATGCGATATGCGCCATTATGAGTTCAGTTGTCTCTGGGTTGTAGGAATATAGGCAAATTTTTTATTAGTAAAAAGTTAGATACATGTGTATATATTTATATTACATTTCTATCTTGTCTGTGTTTATTCTCACATGTGGAGAGAAATACACAAAAAAGGAAGAAAAGAGAAGGAAGAAACTACACCCTACTATTAACACTTATATTTGGAACTAAAATTACTCATTTTTTAATGCTTCTGATTATACTCTCAAATTTCAAGAAACTACCAAGAAGGATTATTTAAAATGTCTTTTATGTAGTTTTCTTTATCCCTCCTTATTTTTCTATTCAGTTTTATTTTCAATATATTACACTATTCTGCTACTTTCTATTCTGCACACATCATCCCACTTTGACACGTCTACACATATTCTCTATTTTCCATATGGTTGTCTGTTTGATCTCATTGTTAGAAGAATATATTCTACAACGTTGAGAAAGTGTATCTTAGGATTTTAACTGGGAGAGTGATTTTCTAATGAGAGCTAAAGCATCATCTTGCTTTTACACTTCATCCTCACAAATCCTGTGACCTAAATTGGAAGATACCAGATTTTACATATGAGAAAACACTGTAGTGAGTAACTCAAGGTCCCATGGGTAAGAAGAGCAAACTGACAAAAACCCAAACCTTCAGAAACCACATACAAATTCTGATACCGGTGATTGCTATTGGATAACTATTTTCTCTTTTCCTCTTTTTTCCGTATTCCCTGTCACCAGCTCACAAAATGCACTGTGGTGAGTATCTCTTAATATTGATTTGTTATGAAAGTAAAGGCTTTTCATTTTATAAAAGCATTACATTGATGAATTCCACTGATTCTCATGGCAATACTATTAAGTAGGGAAGATGATGACAGTCCCACCTCCACCAATCAGACATACCCTCTGATATTTTACAGAAGAAAAAGCAAAATCATAAGGAGTTTGTTTACTTAAAACTCTTGGAAAACAAGAAATATAGCAAGCATTAGCCACTGATACACATTCCGTGTGGCGCCATGCAGACAATCTGTGTTCCTCTGCGATATCTTTCATCCCTCTACACCGCACCCAATGGAAGAGAGGAGGGAACATCTTATGTGGTAATTTAGTATCTTCTCATTTTTGTCTTGGATTTAAATGTTGAATAAGAAAGTAATGACCAGACCCTCATTTCCATGTATATTGTAGTTGGTATTGCCAGGCCAGCAATCATGCTGCAATAAGTTGTTGGTGGGGCAGGGGGTGGAGGATGGGGAGATAAATTGAAAAAAGTTTAAAGATATTGCCAAGCTGTGGAAACAATGAGTTCTAGATTAATTAAAATTCCAGAAAGTGAAGTGCTTTTTCTAGGGGAGTTGACAATTGCTGACCATTATCTGGGGGCACTTGCTGATTTTCACTGTGAGCTGAGGATGGGGCTTGGTCTAGGCTGATAGACTTTACAAGAGGAAGAGATCCAGGAGGGCTTTTGGAAGTTATATAGGGCTGACTTAGAAACTAGAAGAGCTTCAAGCACATGACTAGTTTTGTCACAGGACATTTGCTAAGTTTGTGATGGTGTGGGAGGTTAGGGAACTGGGCCAGAAAGGCAGTCTCTCTACTTTGGAAGCAGTCCAAATAAGAGAAGGGGCTTGCCACCGTCATGAGAAAGAAGGCTAAAGAGCTCAGCTGAAAACTCATGAAGGGGAGAACTAAATCTCAAGCAGTTTTTCTAGACCAAACAGGCTCTCCAGCAAAAGTGCAGGAGGGAAACACCTGAGGAACAGTGATGAACAAGAGCTGGGTTGTGTTAGTAACACTAAAGCCCTGATTGTTTAAGGTGATCAGTGCCTTACCTTACCTCTCTTATCTTTAGAGGAAAAGATAAACCCAATAAACGACAGTCTCTACAGTTTGTTTTGTTTTTTTGACTTGGGGTTTCACTGTCACCCAGGCTGGAGTGTAGTGCTGTGACCATGGCTCACTGAGGCTTCAACCTCCTGAGCTCAAGAAATCCTCCCACTCAGCCTCCTACTCAGCCTCTTGAGTAGCTGGGACTACAGGTATACACTACCATGCCTGGATAATTTTGTAGTTTTGTGGAGATGGAGTCTTGCTATGTTGCCCAGGCTGGTCTCTAACTCCTGACTTCAAGTGATCCTCCTGCCTCAGCCTCCCAAAGTGCTGGGATTACAGGTGTGAGGCACCACACCCAGTCATCTACAGTTTTTATTTTTTATTTTATTTTATTATTTTTTTTGAGACGGAGTCTCACTGCGTCCCCCAGGCTGGAGTGCTGGAGTGCGGTGGCGCGATCTCGGCTCACTGCAAGCTCCACCTCCCGGGTTCACGCCATTCTCCTGCCTCAGCTGGGACTACAGACGCCCGCCACCGCGCCCGGCTAATTTTTTGTATTTTTAGTAGAGATGGGGTTTCACCATGGTCTCGATCTCCTGACCTTGTGATCCACCCGCCTCGGCCTCCCAAAGTGCTGGGATTACAGGTGTGAGCCACCGCGCCCGGCCATCTACAGTTTTTAAAATACACAATGACCCCAAAATTAAAGATTATTAGATGCGAGAAAAGGCAGAGAAATTCAGCTGTTAGGACAAAATGGGCCAGGCACAGTGGCTCACACCTATAATCCCAGCACTTTGGAATGCCGGGGTGGGAGGACTGATTGAGCCCAGGAGTTTCAGACCAGCCTGACTGATATGGTTTGGCTGTATCCCCACCCAAATCTCATCTTGAATTGTAGCTCCCATAATCCCCACATGTTGTGGGAGGGACCTGGTGGGGGGTAATTGAATCATGGGGGTGGTTATCCTCATGCTGTTATGATAGTGACTGAGTTCTCACGAGATCTGATGGCTTTATAAGGGGCTGTTCCCCCCTTGCTCAGCACTTCTTTGCTGCCACTATGTGAAGAAGGACATGTTTGCTTCCCCTCCCATCATGATTGTAAGTTTCCTGAGACTTTCCCAGCCATGTGGAACTGCGAGTTAATTCCTTTATAAATTACCCAGTCTGGGGTATTTCTTCATAGCAGCATGAGAATGGACTAACACAGTAAATTGGTACCAGGAGTGGGGTGCTGCTATAAGGACACCT